GCAAACGAAAAATAACTAGCAAAGAAAACGGGATTGGGTGTCTGTGGTTCATGGCCACCAAGAGCCTATAAATGACTCCGTGAGTAAATGGATCCAGGATCACATGGCCCTGAAGCCAGGACCCACTGTTGTTGACACCAGTTGTTGCTATCTCTGGCATCTCCATATAAGGGTACCTGGGAACAACCAGCAGGGCTGGAGAAGCCAAAGTGTTACTAAATTCTGCATTACAGTAGCTCAACCCTCCTCCCTAACTCTGGTGTGCAAATTTGCTCACTATTCTAAGATTGACCAAAGCCGTATCCTTTTAACGGGGCCTTTTCTAATCCCTTGCACTGAAACACGTAAGTAATTTCATTTTCCTCCAGCTTAGATCATGCTCACAGCTCTTTTTATCATTTAAGAATTCTTTAACCAGCTACAAATAAATATTCCGACAAAATAGTTGTCTATGAAAAATTGCTTTGCTCTTTATTTTTTCCCCTGGGTGCTCGATATCAAAGCACAGAAATGACACACCGGTATTGCTTGCCACAAAATCCAAATTGTTATAATAGGGTTTAATTCAAAGCTAATAGGAAGCTTTATTGAGTGAGTCATGGTAATTTGTTCTTTAATTCCATTTCAGAGTCAGTGCCTCTTCACATTCAGGAATTAATTTTTTAAATCAAGTCTAAATCATTTCTATCAAAAGTTTAAAGCACAGAGCACATGCAACAAAAAACATCCCAGCCTCAAGAATCATAATTCGGTGTCGGTAGAGTAATAGCATGCAAATTACTTACAAAAAATGTGAGCTTTGACTGCTAGGTTACCAGAAAAGAAAAGAAAGAAAAAAAAATACTATTCAGAAGCAACTACAGTAAAACTTTCTATGAATTCTGTAGTCCTGTCTTTGCCTTCCTTCAGCGAACGGGTGCTCCTACAAGGCCCATAAACCCCGGCATGATGTCGGTCTATATTTAGTGTTAATTTAGCCAAGCAGTGTAAGATTTCCAAATACTTTTTATGCAATGTCTAAGATTTTTAGTGACTATATTACTGAAACTATGCTTTAAAAAGAAAAAGCCACCATGCCTTGATTCAATTGGTAACAGTTGAGGTTGTTATTGGACCGAAGTTAATGTCCTTATTTGGCTGATGGGACCGGGTAAGCGGACACATTTCTAGCACTTCTGCCATGGTATGCTCCCATATATAAATATCCAGTAGCGGACCGGAGCTGCCATTCTGACAGGACTCCAGACCAACCAGAGGACTGCAATAAAGAGCGACAGAGAAAGGTTGTGATACTAACTGGGATGATGGCACGTCAGAGAACTCCGAGTGCTTCCAGAAGCTACAAAAAAAGATTGCGAGTGGGAGATTGTATGACTACAGACCCGCTGCGGAAGAGAGAAGCACTGTGTCTCATCAACTTCCCTTTCTACTCAAAGCCTTTATTTATTCTGAGTTTTTATGCATCCGCTTTCTCAGAAATGCCAGACTTTCTCTCATGGGGTTCCCTCACAGGCACGCCAAGGAGCGTCTGCCCTCTGGTGTACATGAGAGGAGCTACAGTGAGGACGGCCATCCTCTGAGTCCCATTCGCAGGCTCCAGGGACAAACTATCCTGGCAGGACACTAAGGGCTGGGCAGTAATCAGATACGCAGTCCTTTCCAAACCTACCTTCCATTGCACATCTAGATGGACCCATCTGTGGATCTTTGAAACAGTTTGTACGTCAATCAGAAAATGTTTGCTTCACGGAACTTTCTTTACATTTATATTTAGTATGGACCTCAGTCCACATTTAGGGGAAAGGAATGCCATTTCCTTAAACTTCATCTGTACCAGGGGACCAGTTCACGGAGGAAGCAATATAACTAGTAACTGTCTCCTCAGAGGTACATTATACATTAAAAAGCCATGCCAAATTTCTTGAAAAATGAAAATGTTTGTTTGCTATTATACTATCAGCCTGTTTATAAATCTCCTAGCTACCTGATCAGTCTCAAAGCATCAAACCTCTGAAGAAACAGCAGCCTCATTTTGAATATGTACTATGTATGTTTTTCTCACTCCTGTAACCTTACAACCCTATCAGTCCCCCTTCAGGGATGAGGAAAATGTAGCCTAAGCAATTCCTTACCCCAAAGTCTGAATTCAACCATATTTTACACCAGGGAAAGGGATGAAAAGTTCTTACGGCTTGCGATTAATTAGACTTCTGGAGAAGCACGTGAAAGCAAAGAAAGATGACATACATACCTCATTTTATCTATTACATACTTGAAAGATCACATCAAGAAAAGTTCAGTCATAAGAAGAAAATAGGTATTCTCACCTGAAATAATCTGGGGGCACTTTTAAGTATTTCTTGATTTTTATTTCAAACTTTATTTTACCATATCTAGATTCAACTCCCGGGAAATTCAGTAAATGCCATCACAGCCTTGAATCATGGATGCTGGTTGCTTCAAAATTAATGCTTGAGCCTCAAAACATTAAGAACTGAGTAGGCAGGGACCATTTTAAATTCCTTTAAACCAGCAAGAATCAATCAAGAACCAAGGAATGAACTGGTTCATATAATATGAACTATCATATACCATTTTGCTACTTTTGAGAAAACTCAATTATTTTTATACATTGAAGCCCCAGTAATCCTTGTCTAGCAACTATCCATAAATTTCATGATGTACCCATCCATAAATTTAATATACAGATTAACTCATTTCTCTCTTCTTCCTCCTAAAACCCCATTAAAAAGGCAGAATAGGAATTAAAATTAGAAAACCACAAGAATGAAAATTGGAAGAAATAATACTGAACAAGATTCCAACAAATGTATTGAATACGGAAAAGAGAGTGGTCGTTACCCGCATGTGTAGAACGGCAGAACTCAGGCGGGCTTAGGAATTGGAGGCAAGAATGAAGTATGGAGCTAAATCCAGGCAGGTGATTTCATAAAGATTGAAAAACTGCGTTATAGAAATCTACCCCCCCCCATAAATGATTTAAGAAATAAAGCCAGAGGCTCAATTCAGCGGTTCTAGTTATTTCATGGAGTTCCAGGACAAAGTGTGTATGTGTGGGTTTTGTTGGGGGGGGGGGGGGGGCAGAGGGTAGGTGAGGGAGGCTGGGCAGGGTCAGGGCCCACCAAAGCAGTTATCGCTGAATTTTACAACTCTAAAGTGCCTCCAATAACAAAACGAAGAAATAAAAATTGCACATCACAAGTTTTATTACAATAGAGCGAGGTCTTCAAAATTCTGAATTTGATTTTCTACCTAAAATTTTATATACCAAGCCATATTACCTTTCAGGCATGCAGTAGTCTCAAAGTAATTGAGCCTCTAGGCACCCATTCCTTCACTGAAGGAAGTGTTCTCTATCAAGTAATCTAAGAACAAAGACACAGGGTCCAGAAAACGTGGACTCCAACCCAAGAGAGGAAAACAAATCCCAGGAAGATGAAGTCTCAGAAACAGTTGTATATATACATGAATAAGAGAGAAATTAGTTCAGACTGAAACAGGTATACGGTTGGGCTTTGACCCTGTGAAAAATTGATCTTAAAAAGTTTTACATATTTGGGACTGTTTCGGAAGAATTAGTGATGTGATGTAAATGTAAAACCAACACAAAATGTTGAGAATGGAAAGGAAGCACAGGCAACTCATTCAGGAATGAACATAGAGATATGGTCACTATAATCGAACGATGCCAATTTAATGGAAAAATACCAGAATGAGAAAAAAGGAAAAAGGAAAAATCATCTATCAAATAGGAAGCTGTCAGATGTCTAAACACAGTGAACTAGTTAACAGTATAAGCATATTACTTAGAAATCTGAAACCAAGGCCCTAGGAAAAACACCAAAGGCTGAAACGGCCCCTGTGAAATGGAAAAGGATGGAGCAGGGAGCTAACTTTCCCCCTTACAATCCCTGAGGTACCATTCAACTATGTATATACATCATTTTAATAAAAATTTTTATTTAAAAATAGTATACATATACGAAATTGAAAATTTATGGGCGGTAACTACTTGTAATCGTTTTTTCGAGGATTCTGACCTACTTGGGAGTACAAGAAGGTGGCAACAGCAAACTCCAGTTCTGGATTCCGAGGCAGTTTTCCTCTGCACCAGAACTGAGAGATGGGACTCACGCTTGCCACAGCTACAGCGACTCTACAGGCCAGACAATACGGTTTCAACAAGAAGCTACATCACATGTCCCAGGAGTTGTTGAGAATGTCGGGGAGGAAGAGCCCTGGTTTGGGAAGAACACCTTCACGGATCTGGGGTCTTCTCTAGTGTACAGGTTACCCCACCCGTGAAGCCTCTTACTACTGTTTTCTGCACTAAACCCAAAGAAATCAGTAACTAGAATCCCAATGAGGCGCTAAGTACTATTCTACAGTGATATACCCAATGACATTGCTACATTCTTTCATCTATCTTCATGCTTCCAAATATATGAGTTTTGTCTCTCTCCCCCTATCTAGGTTGGTTATTTTGAACTTTGTACCTCAAACCCATATATGTTTCTTCTACTAGAAAAGAAGCACTTTTAGTGTGAAAAGATCTTTAAAATGTAAGACTATAGCAGATAAAATGTGTTACTGCCCTCAGAGGTCAAGGTTGGCAGCTTTTCTGGCATATGCTGAACTCCTCATGAACTCCCACTAGCTTTGGTCTCAAAGACCAAATGGCCTTTCAGAGTAGCTCTAAGGTCTCATGCTTCGTCAACCCCAGTGACAGAACTAAAATGATTAGATCCCATTTAATAATTAAAATATAGCAGAATTCTAAAAGAATTAGCTCCCAAAACTGTATCCAAAACTCACTTGTCTAGTATATTAAGTACTTTGTATATTTACAACATTACAATCAATATTTTTGGACAACTACAGTATAAGATATTTAAACTTGGGTGATAGGTTTCCTCATTATGAAATCAAGTACAGTAACATATTTTTGCTCTTCATAAATAGAAATGACCAAACATTACAAATACTTTATTTATGTTTACGGATTATATTTACAGAGAATATTCAATAACCAGAACTCACCATTTGCAATATTGTACATTAAATTATAACCCCTGCTACAAAAGCCATCTATGTTAACCCAAAGATAAAAACTATCTCTAGTTTAAATACATTAGAAATTACAAAAAAAAAAAAATTAGAAAGTGATCTTCAAGTGCCAAAAATCTAGAAGAATTCTCCAACATCTGCTCTCTTATCTCGACATTTGCTTCGAGCTTTTGTTCGAGCTTTGAAGGCTGCAGAATTATACAGATGCTGAAATGAAGGAAAGGAAAATACAAGTGAATCACTAAAGCTTAAAATATTCTTGTATTTTAACATTTTAAAATCGTAACATTTTAAAATCATAAAAATGTTGTCAAATGTGTGTGTAATAGCTACATGCCTTCATTCATTACTGGAAACAATTACAAATGATAGAATAACTTTAGAAGGTTATTTGGCAGTACATATCAAAGAGTCATAATCCAGCCCTGTATTCCCATGTAAAGATTTCATCCAAGAAGGGATTCAAAAGAGAAATGTATGTAAAGATATTAATATTAAAATACCTAATCATCAATTATGTGGCTATAAAAATGACTAACTATAGTCTATAAAAATATAGTTAAGCACTTCCCACCCACTAGTATGGCTATAAAACAAAAAAAGCCAGAATAAAAAGTGTTGATAAGGATACAGAAATTGGAACTCTCATACACTACTGGTGGGAATGCAAAATGGTTCAGTCATTACAGAAAACAGTTTGGCAGTTCCTTACAAAGTTAAACACAAAACTACCCTATGACCCAGCAACTCCACTCCTAGGTATATACCTAAAAGAACTGAGAACAGGTGCTCTAACAAAAACGTGTACACAAATGTTCACAGTAGCACTATTCACAATGGCCAAAAAGCAGAAACAAGCTAAAAGTTTATCAACTGATAAATGGATAATCACGTGGTGTATCCACACAATGGAGTGTTATTCAGCCACAAAAAGTACTAAAACACTGGGACATGCTAGAATATGGATGAACATTGGTAACATGATGCTGAATGAAAAAAGTCACACAAAAGGTCACGTTTTAGGAATCTATTTACATGAAATATCCAGAATAGGTAAATGCATGGAGACAGAAAGCAGATCAGTGGTTGCCAGCAGCTTGGGGGGGTGGGGAGGGATGAGAAGGGAATGTTTAATGGATATAAGTTTCCTTTTGCAGTGATGAAAATATTCTGAAACTAAACAGAGATGACAGTTGCGCAACATTGTTGAGTACACTAAATGCCCTGAATTGTACACTTCATTTTTTTAATGTTTATTTATTTTGAGAGTGAGAGAGAAAGAGAGAGAGAATGCACACATGAATAGGGAAGGGGCAGAGGGAGAGACAGAATCCCAAGCAGGCTCCACACGGTCAGCACAGAGCCCGATGCGGGGCTCAAATTCATGAAAAGCGTGAGATCATGACCTGAGCTGAAATCAAGTTAGACACTTGACCAACTGAGCCACCCAGGCGCCCCAGTGAATTCTACACTTTAAAATAGTTTATTTTAGGTTATGTGAATTTCACCTCAATAAAAACATAAAAATATAATTAAGGATTTTGGAAATGTTAAGTGAAATTACATTAATTAGTATTTAATGTTACAAACTCTCTGAGCACCTGTTTTCTCAGCTTGCAAAATGGATCTGGTACTTACTAAGTAGGCTTAGTTATCTGATACAAAAGATACTGTGTACTTATTCATAACTATAAAAAGTTAACAGAATAAAAGAAAACAAGAAAGGAAAATAATTTCTGTGCTAATAGGATTATAGATAAAAATTATTCATTGTAACTCCTGATACTCTAAATAAAGTGTCTACAATTTTAATACAGCTATTCTGTGTCTGAAACATCATAAAGCACTACAAGCCCACAGACTCCGCTAAATACCTATCACCTGGTAGAATCAAAGCCTCGGTCTACTTTTCTTTGATGCATTGAGTTCTGATGAAAACAAAAACAAAACCTACCCTTTCAAACCGTGAAATCTTCATGGTTTTAAGTGTTGCAGCATCAAGCATCACTGGGGGTCCAAGTTCAAATACATTACGAAGGAATTCATTTGACTTCGGTAAAACAGAAAGGTAAATAAAATCAGGCTCATTATCAAATATCAGCTCTTTTTTACTACATAAAGTGAAATCTGATTAATAGAAGTTATGTGGAGCTTATAAATAAGTACTTGGGTCACTTATTTTCCTCTTTATGAGACTAAGTTGTTTCCAATGCCTCGAATCCAAGAAAGTTACATAAGCAAAAGTCGTCTACAAAACTTACAGATGTTCCACCAAGAAGTTGCCTACTTACCAATTCTACTTTAAAAAAAATAAATGCAGCTCTGTACCATGATGAAAGCATCTCCATATCCAACTAACTTCAAAAGCCCATTAAGTGAACTACATTCCAAAATGCTAATTTAAAAACAAACATACAGAAAAGAGGTCACTCACACTCACCTGCAAATGGTACTGCATGCCTGAACCAAGAACTTCCTTAAAGGTGTCATAGGTATGTTTTTTGACCCAGCAATCAATATACATACGTTCAGGACCAAATTTAACAGTTTCTGTTGGAAAATCCCGTTCCTAGCCAACAGAAGAACCAAAAATTTTAAGAGGAATTAAGATGGCTTCACAAGATCCTACAGAAACACAATTTCTTTTTTTTTTTTTTTTATTTTTTTTTTTTCAACGTTTTTATTTATTTTTGGGACAGAGAGAGACAGAGCATGAACGGGGGAGGGGCAGAGAGAGAGGGAGACACAGAACTGGAAACAGGCTCCAGGCTCTGAGCCATCAGCCCAGAGCCTGACGCGGGGCTCGAACTCACGGACTGCGAGATCGTGACCTGGCTGAAGTCGGACGCTTAACCGACTGCGCCACCCAGGCGCCCCCAGAAACACAATTTCTAAACAGACACATTTACAAGTAAACAATATGGTTTAAACTGGTAACTCCGATACCTCCACCCCTGAGATGTGAACAGACTAGCAAGTATTATCCTAATATAAGGGTACAGAACTTGTCTATTTATAGTAGACTTAAAGGCACAACCAAGTTCGGATAAATACTATTGGCAAAACCATATTGTTGTGAATGTCTTTAAATTTCAAGAACACTCAACAAACTTGAAGAAAAAAATCAGGTATCTATATTGGTCTACAAATACAGGGTGAGGTGGGGAGAGAGGAGCAGGATGCTGCAAGACAAGTCAGAAGACAAGATGCCCCACACACCAGGAGTGAAACTGAGAAGAAGCGGGGGTCAACGGAAGGAAGGGAAGATAAATGGAACTGACATAACAGACCAACCAAAAAGTAGAGTACCAGCAACAAGAGGGCTCCAAGGGTCTCAGAGCAGACTTACTAAAAAAATGAGAGGTTAACAAATGGAGTTTAAGACTTCAGAGATGGAACTTTTCCAGAAGACAATTTCTAAAGTACAATCATGAGTGGGAAACTAGTGAATCAAGGAAATAAAGGAAATGGAAGTAAAGACCATTGAAACAAATACAGGAAAGGGCCCTCCAAATGTAGGGAGGAGTCACCCAGAACAGGGGCAGAACTTGGGATGAAAAAAAACTGGCTGCTCCATTCTTTAATGAATCATGATTATGAAAGAGTAACTAGGAAGAGAGCAGCTGATCACCACAGGGACAGAACAAAGGAGATGGAACTTGACCACTCCAATCAGCTCCCCGACATCTACCTAGCCCCCTTCCTTCTCAGCAGACACATTATATAATGTGATAGAAAACAACATGAAATCTAGACTTACATGGGTGTGCCACTCACTGGCTTGTCATTTTGGCAACTAATTTAACCCCTTTGGGTCTGTTCCCTTGCCTGTAAAGTGGAGCCTTCAATACCTATACCACAGAGTTATGAGAAGTGTAAGATAAAGCATGTCTGTGAAGCACAAACTGCCTGGTCTGTCACAACAACTGAAAAAACACCCAACAGGGTTCTACTATTTCAGCCTTTCTCATTTCAGAAACACTGAGACACCAGGAAAGAGCTCTGTCTAAACTCATCTGCATCATAACCTATTCCTCTCCTAAATCTCTCCGATTCAAGGCAAATCATACTCCTTACATCACACTCTCAATCTATCATCATACCCTCAAACTAAAATTATAAACTTGTATTTTAAAATGCTCCCTTCTCCACTGGTTCCTTCTCCCATAAAGGGAGCATCTAAAACACCCAGCATCTAAAACAAAACAAAACAACAAAACCCTCCCACGATCCAGTGATCAACCCTTTCCCCTTCCAGTTACAGCCACGTTTTTGAAAAGAACAGTCAAATGGGGCGCCTGGGTGGCTCAGTTGGTTAAGCGGCCGACTTCGGCTCCGGTCATGATCTCGCGGTCCGTGAGTTCGAGCCCCACGTCAGGCTCTGTGCTGACAGCTCAGAGCCTGGAGCCTGTTTCAGATTCTGTGTCTCCCTCTCTCTGACCCTCCCCGTTCATGCTCTGTCTCTGTCTCAAAAATAAATAAACGTTAAAAAAAAAAAATTAAAAAAAAAAAAAAAAAGAACAGTCAAAACACAACATCTCCACTGCTTCACTTTCCAATCCCCTTCAGTCAAGCTTTCCTGACATCACTCTACTGAAGCTGCTCTTATAAAGGTCACCCACCAATGACCGAATTGACAAATCCAATGGACACTTACTTCACTCTCTCTCACTTGACCTATCTGCAGCATGTGGCCCTGTTGATGGCACAGTACAATGGGTTCAAATTCCAGCTGTGCTACTTACTGTTCTTTCTGCCTTTGGTCTCCATTCTTCCTTAAAAAAATAACTGTGCTACTTAAGTGTTATAATGGAACAGAAATAAGAAAACTTTGTATCAAGGCACTTAACGTATTAAATGCTTGCTGATTGAGACATACATGAGCTTAAAGAATGATTTCCAGATGAAAAGAAAGGATGGGCAGCAACAAGCACACCTGAAATGGAGAACTCTCCTCTACGGCAGTTTAATCAGCTTCATTTAAAAGACCCATCAAGGAAGCAGGGTCCTTCAGAGAAAGCTGGGTTCCAGTGAAAGTTAGGAAACAAGAACACTTAGCAAGGCTGTGAGGACAGACCTTTCTTCAGCAGGTACACTGAAGCAGAGCTGGAGAAGAGGGAACCCAGGCAAAGGGCAGGGGAGGAAGGGAAATCCTGAGGTGGAGAGGGGAGGGTGGAGAAGGCCTAAGGGGAGAGCACTGCAGGGAAGAATTATGAGGCAAAGAAAGGGCTTTCACTTGTAGGAGGTGCTGGGCAGGGGTGGGGGGCACATGAGAGGCCTGTTAAGGCTGGTGTGCACTGCGATCTGGCTTGTGTCTTAGGACAATCAGTGCTGCGTGCTGTGGCTGCTCAGGCCGAGGGGCTTGTCAACAGGGTCTGCTCAAATCCTGCTGAGCCTTACAATCTTTGATCCAGAAAGGATGCATCAAGACAGAAAATCTGACATCAGGTCTAATCCAGAAAACATAGAACACACCATTATCTTATCTTTGGCGGTGACATTATCCAAATAGAGGAGTAGTTTGTAGTTATTCAAGAAAATGCCTTGCTTAATTTGGGGACACCACCGCACTAAAATTGTAAGATCAAAAGGATCAATTTTTAACATAGATGTCTGCTCGAGCTTGGAGGCTTTTATTTTTCAGATTCTAAAAACCAGAGTAAATATAAAATATTACTATAATGTAATTAGAGTTAGCATAAACTGAAATGCATAGATCCCTGAAGATCTCTATACTAATTTATACCCTAAGTTTTACTTGGATTAAAATGAACAAAATTCTTAAGCAGGCTATGCATGAGAATCACTGGAATATTTCAAAACTGGACCTGAATGGGATCTTAGCATCTTTATTTTTTTTAATTACCATTCTAAATTTTCATATACACGCCAGGTTGAAGACTCTGGTGACACACTTATTCTTAAATGAGCTGCCCTATTGGGATAGTAAGAACCTGAGATATTTATCCTTTATGTGCAAGAAATATTTCTTACCTGGTCAAACCAAAAAAAAAAAAAAAGGAATAAAAGAAAATGTTAATGACTTTGGTATTCTCCACAGTAAAACTGCCCTTAACCTGCAGTTCCTCTTAACTGTGCCTTCTATTCGAATCCCTGAAGGTTTCTAAATCAATTTATTTGCCAGGTAGATTGAAACAGGTTAGAAGACTGTAAAAGGTACTCAAGTATCGGATGATTTTAAAACATTACTTAAATGCTGGGTTTTGTTATTTTAGCACCTAGGCTTCCTAGGGAGAATACAGAGGTCTTTGCTTAAAAGTACTGACGGGTAGGCAATAATTCACTATTCACAGAGAACACTGTACTAAATATGTATGTGCTAAGCACCACTGTTTAAATGATGACAAGTACAACAAAGGGAAATACACTGTGTATTTTTTAAACTAAGAAAAAAGTACCTTTATGCATCAAAATGAAATTTGCCTTTGTTTAAAAAAAATATATATGTTGTTAAAAATACCCTCCAGGCTTAAAATGAGGAAACTATTTTGATCAAAGGTGAAGTTCAACCAACAAAATGACCCAACTGCCAAGTTTAGCCTAAAACGATCTCATTCAAAATGAGTAGGCATTGTAGCATTGAGAGACCTACCTCCACTGCCCTCAGGATGTCTCTGAACACGGACCGCTGCTTTCTCTTGTCCACTTTGGCACGGTGCTTGTTTCCATCTGTAGCCAAAGCCCTAAGCATCTGAGTCAAAGACTCCATGTCTTCATAAAAAAAGTCCTGGTCAGGAAAAACAATTTTAGTTTGTTACTGGGTTCCTTTCCCCCGCCGCCACCACCCCAACCTTTCCTAGCGCTAACAAAGAACAGTCCACTTTGGAAATCCCCCAGCAGTGGTAAAAGGAGCACCACACATCTCGGAGCTCTTTAGAGATCTCGGCACACAGGCACACGTTCACACATCTATAGCATCATGCGAAAATTTTAATCCAGAAATGGGGACTACGAGATGATACACTACCACTAACCAATTAACATTCCCCTCCCAACTATATCCAGATACAGTCAACAAATACTTATTGTGTTCCTACCGTATTCAAGATATTCCTGGGATTTCAAAGTTCAGTGGAAGTCAGATACCACAAATATCAACACAGCTTCTATCCTTTGGCTCTTCAGTCCCCAAAGCACACAATCCCAGAATTCCAAATATTCTTATTCCCAAAGTACAAGCGATCAGTAACGCTTAAAACACCTAATTTCTTATTTACTCTTCATTTTTCAAACAAGCAAGCATTTAACTCAGGTGTACACTTCATGTACTTAAGTTACTCAAGCTAAGAAGATATTTTAATCCCTTCTGAAGAAAAGCCACAAAATGTATTACTATTTGCTACTGTCCTGATTTGACTGTGAGTTTCCTTGTTATAGTTTAACAATGGCTATACTTTTAAGAAGTATCTTTGAGTGTTTTTATTCCCTATGTACATTTTATAAACACATTAAAAAAATGATTCAAAGTTATTTAGCTGACCAAAATTAGAGCAGACACTTAGAGAAGCCAGAAAGTAAACAATCTCCAGTTCCACTTATTAATGACTGTTTAATATTTTTTGCATTAGCTATAATAATCATTTAACTTGTTCTATTAAAATAAGTAGATCTTATTCTGGATATTCTTCAAATTGTATATATAATTGTTTAAGCTTAAAAAGCATAAATGCAATTTCTTTTAAAGTCTAAAATTAAAAAGATTATTAAACTGGTAGAAATTTTATTATTTAAAATTTATTATTACTGGTGGAAAATTACAACTGATACCCCAACTTTTAAGTACATATTTTCTTATTGTCAATATTTTAGAGATTGTGTATTATTAACTATTTCAACAAGTTTTCTTCAAACGTTCCAAATCAACCTCCTATGTCTGAGTAACTGGAACAATACCTTAAGATTTGCATCTAGAAAATCTACTACCAAAGCTGATGAGGTTTTATTAAAACAGATGAAAGTCATGTTTATCTCTATGTATATAAATTCCAATGAATGTGATGCTTTCATAAAGTTTTACTTGTAGAAACAAGTACATTTCAGACACTGGAAGTTTCCTACTCATTTCACTGGCTACTCATTCTGTTATAGTATTCTCAAAGAAAAATGTATGGAAAATCTTACAATACATATAGGAAAATAAATGAAATTAAGAAAACTCTACATATTAACTTAACTTGTTTTAAGAACTGAGAACCACTACTAGTCTGACCCACCGGGGACATTCGGCTATGTCCAGGGACATTTTTGGTTGTCATACCTGAGGAAGGAGCAGTTGCTACGGGCATCTAATGAGGAGAGGCCAGAGATGTTGCTAAACATCCTAAAATGCACAGGACCGCACCCGCACCCTCTTCCCAACAGAAAATTACACAGCCCAACCTACCAACCATACAGACGTTAAGAAATCCCACTGTAATTGATCTCTGCAACCGATAAAACTCAATCTAGTTACGGTATCAATCACTGAGTTCAATATAGTACTAACTTGGAAAAAACAAATGTTAAATATTGTAGGGAAATGTCTCCGAAACATTTGGGCATTAAAAAGAAAGAAAATATGGGGCGCCTGGGTGGCGCAGTCGGTTAAGCGTCCGACTTCAGCCAGGTCACGATCTTGTGGTCCGTGAGTTCGAGCCCCGCGTCGGGCTCTGGGCTGATGGCTCAGAGCCTGGAGCCTGCTTCCGATTCTGTGTCTCCCTCTCTCTCTGCCCCTCCCCCGTTCATGCTCTGTCTCTCTCTGTCCCAAAAATAAAAACATTGAAAAAAAAAAAAAAAAAGAAAGAAAATATAGAACAAAAACAGTCCATAAATAGCATCCGAAAGCCAACTTATTGGGGCTTAGGATAACTATATAGTAAACTATATATCCAGGGACAAATGAAAATTGGGACTCTTGGGGTACAAATAAACACTTTAACTCCTATCAAATATAAAAAGAAAATAGCAGAATCATGATCACACAAGGGTGTGTGTCTGTTTCTCTCCTGAAGCACTTCCTTTGTCAGGTTAAGCAGGGTATAAAAATGGGAGAATCAAGGAAGGTCTATGCTATATTTTGGTATGTCTTCCAGGGTCAGCATGTTATTTGGCTCCCAAGAACTGTAACTCTGCCTAGTGAACAGTCTTGGTGTTATTGTAAGTTATTCTAGAGAGCTCCTAAAAGGCCACTACTAGACCACTGCCAGAGAGGGGAAGTAATACTCAGTTTAATCAAGAGTTAACAGTAATAGCTACCACTTATACTGTACCTATTGTGTTCTCAACAACCTTATGAGGCAATTACTATTTTATTCTGCATTTTAAAGATACTGATACTGAGGCATAGAGAAGTTGCCCAAATTATCCAACTAGTAAGGGTAGAAAAGAGATTTGAACCTGGGAGTGTGGCTCCAGAGCACACACCTACCTATGTGGTTACAGAGCAAATATGCATAATAAACTAGAGAGAGAGCTCTCACAATTTCTAATTCCCCATGGAAACTTACATTAGCAAAGGCTCTGAATATTTCCATGCCATGCATTTGCTACTAAAACCACAATTTAAATCAGCCTATGTATTCATCAACACTTGGTTTAATTTTTTGAATGCCCTACATCTACTCCTACCCAATACCACAAACTCACTTTCAAAAAGCTTACTTAACAAAAATAGCAAACAAAACACTAGGTTCTATTCTGTAACTCAGTTCATTTTTGTCCTTAGATAGGGACTTATCCAAACATGTTTAATCTGACCTGAGTTCTAGCTCTATCTCCTACAATTTATCAAACCCGGAGAACAAAGAAGATATGTGAGTAATAATAAATGTATGTTTACACAATTATTTTAAAAAATCCAACATGAATAATTTAAATTGTAATATTACTTTACTTTTAAGATACACTTCAAAGGAAAAAGCAAAGAAATTACCATTTATAGCCAGTAGAGTAAAATAAAATTAAAAAACTGGGACATCTGGCTTCTATGCCTTGAGGTTAAGGAGCCATTAAGTAGCTCAATAAAATTAAATTGATTGCTAAGCTTGAGTCCAATTTCTCCTAAGTACATTCGTTCGCTGACAGCATTAATAGCTTCTTTCCATTCTACCTGCTAGCTTTCAAAAAAAAAAAGGCGGGGGAGGTTAGAGGAAGCCTAACAAAGACACTTCCTAGATAGAAGTTTTAAGAGCCTAAAACATTGTTTTGGTTTTTTTTCCAGTTTATTTTTATTTATTTTTTGAGAGAGAGAGAGAAAGAAAGCAAGTGGGGGAGAGGCAGAGAGAGAAAGACAGAATCTAAAGCAGGCTCCGCAATGTCCGTGCAGAGCCCGATGCAGGGCTCAAACACACAAACCATGAGTGCAAGATCCGAACTGAAGTCAAGGTTAGATGCTTAACCAATTAAGCTACCCAGGCGCTCCAAGCCTAAACATTATTTTTAAACATAGGACTAGAATGAAATGTGAAGAACAAAGGCGACAGAGATATTATTAATCCTATTTGGAATTATTCACTATTAAATAACACATTTAATTCCAGAAAAGGTTTCATTCCAGAAGTATAGTTGTTGTCTTTACATTAAAGAGCACCTAGTAAGTAACCAAAGGTTCACAACAGGGGATACAAACTAGGGTGCCAAACATCCCAGTTAGCCAGAGATGAGAGGTTTCCTGGAACACAGGGCTGTTAACGCTAACCTTAGAACAGTATCAGGCAATCCAGTAAAGCTGGTCACCTATCACAAAATACCTTTGAGAGCCAAATTGAGTAACAACATGACAAGCAGACAGTGGATGGGGAACTACAAAGCACATGTCCCAGTCTAAAGGTCCATGCTTGTTTCCAGCTTTGGCTTAGAGAAGTTAAACAACAATGATTAAATTTATCTGATCCCAAAGCTATGTTGACTTAGTATTTCATCCACTTGTCTGACATTTTTGATAAGGCATCCATGCCTGAATCACCTGAATGTGTCCTGTGCCTGAGAAATCCAAGCAGTTCCAAACAGATTGTAGTAAATAACTTTCTCCATGGTAAAAGTGCCCCTAAACTTGAGTTCTATAGACAGCAAGGGTAAGTGCAATAACGCTCAAATGTTGCTCTACCAACCCCTACTGGTTTATGCTCTTAAAACTTTTATCATCACTGCCAAGAAGCAGGGCAATCAATCACTTGGTTTTCAAGCTGGCTATACTCCGAAGTTATCATCTAACTCTTAATTATGAAGATAATGATAGAATCACAGTCCTTGTGATATAATCTTTTTTTCTCTATTCATTAAATACTTACACTCTCCATCCCTCTGGCCAATTCAAACATAAGTGCCAAAGATTCACCAGCAGCTATTCTCATGTTTACATCATCAGAAGACAGGAGGCTTGGAAGTTTATGGAAATGCCTAAAAAACAGTTAGTCATTACTATGTGAACACAGCCAATCATGTCAATGTAGGTTTTCATAAAATATGAAACAAAGAATACATACATCTCAAGCTTTTTCTTCACTTCACTGATCGGGCATATGGTCAATAATAAGGTCCATGCGAGAAGCGAGCTGATGTGAAGCACCGTATTAGGGGTGCTGCAAATAACATTAGTGTCTTTCTCTTTGAGGTAGGACTTGGTGAAGACATTTTCCAAACATTCCAGAGTTGAATACAGCTCCTAATGCAGAACATTAAATAAGGTAACCATCTTAAATTTGAAACAAGCGAATAACTGGGTCAAAGGTTTTCTACTTACAGTAATGTCATCTGTAGCAATAAAACAGCAAACACCAAAGCAAGTTGCACACTAAAAAAAAAGTAAATATAGACATTAATGTTTGTAATTTTCTTACTATTTCTGTATCTTCCTGCTTTTATAATTCAATGTGAAAATGTTCTTAACTACATGACTATAATGTTCCCAAGCAGAGTATAAAAAGAGAGAATATAGAATCAAGAGTTAAGGGAAGTGGCTTTCAGCTCAAACTATGCTACCAAACTGAGAGTATGGTTAAGTTCTTCTCTTTCTCTCAGTTCTTCCATTAATCCAGCAGATAGTTTTCAAACTTCCAACTCCAACTCAAAGAAAGAGATGAAGTTTGCACATTGGAGATTAAGAAGTCTACTCTACTAAAAACGTTTAAAACACATTAAGTTTGTTACAAGGCTTTTAAAATTTTTTTTTTCAACGTTTATTTATTTTTGGGACAGAGAGAGACAGAGCATGAACGGGGTAGGGGCAGAGAGAGAGGGAGACACAGAATCGGAAACAGGCTCCAGGCTCTGAGCCATCAGCCCAGAGCCCGACGCGGGGCTCAAACTCCCGGACCGCGAGATCGTGACCTGGCTGAAGTCGGACGCTTAACCGACTGCGCCACCCAGGCGCCCGTTACAAGGCTTTTAAAACCATTTATGTTCATTTGTTTTTACGTAGACTCTACTATGAAAACTTCCAAAAGAAATCATTTTTCCAGAAATAAGCACAGTAGGAGCAGAAATCTCCTCCAGTTTAATAACTCTCCTTGAACTTCCGCTTAAAGAAGGATCTCATTAATCCAGATCCCATTTTTTTCCAAGTATACTGAAAAGCGGTCAGGAATCCTGTAACTGCCTTTTGTTAGGGGGGAAAAAGGAACGATATAGGAGTACAAAGGTAAAGTTACTTAATAAAATGGACTTGGAAGACAAAACATATGCAACCATGTGCTTGTAGCATAAATGGGAGCCATTAATTTTCAGAACACTGCTCTAACAGATCATATGAAAACAACTTATGACTTGTGACATTTTATTATTGTCCACTTCCCTTTTCTCCACGTTTTCATTAAAATTCTCATGTTGTTCCAAGTGCCACTAAAGCGTTAAGTCTTTAAAGTCACCATTCGCACACCCAGGTTTCAGTTAGTTTGGATCTGGTAGCATAAGGACACTTGTGGCATTAATCTGCTTTGTGTCACTGTTTTATTTTCATTATTTCACCCTGGTAAAAATTGGACATTGCTAAAGTTAAAAAGTAATCTAGGTATTATTCTCAGTAACAAAAACTTTCAATCTGTAATCCCTTGTCCTGAGCAAGCAGCACACGCCAAGCCCCATCTCTCCTTTCGCTGCCTCAAGAGAAAAAAGGTGTATTAACAATTAGAACTGCCTACATCCCTCTGCTAATATAAGAATTGTCAAGGAATTTTTTAATTCACGGCAAGCATCAAGCATATTTTTTAAAAAAATGACAACAAACTCACGCATGATGAAAATTAAGACATCGCTACAAGTACCCACCTAACAGGGTTTTCTGTCAAACATTTCAAAAACACCTCTCCAGTCCTGCATGATTTAAAAGTTGCATGAAACTACCCAAAAAGGGGGCAAAGAATGTCAACAGCATAAGCCGATATAGCCATTTTGGGATCACTAAATGCTAGAGAGCAGAGATTCCTAGGAAGTCACCAAAATTCTATTTCTTTGCCTCTGGGGGAAACAGCCTCACTATACCCGGCTTCCATACAGCTGGTAGACCAAGGAACTGGCCGCTAAAGGGATATGCTCTGGCCTGAGCATATATCCTCTTTTTCCCCTTCCAGCTACCATAGCTGCCATATGGAGGACCTAAAGGTAGGGCAGAGCCACAGGGGGATAACCAGGGTCTCTGACTACTTACTTACACAGTGACATGAGCAAGAAAAAAACTTTTATTAAGCCACCAAGATTTCAGGGTTTATCTGATATAAAGATCAATGTCAATTACTTTAAGTAATATTAAAGAGAAAGCTTGAAAACTCACTCTTAAAAGTATTAAAAACTTGAACTGGTTCTCTTGTTAGGAAAACAGCTTAAGATTCAAATCTATTAAGATTAAATTCTTATGATGCATTAAGATTCTTAAGATCCATTAAGATCCAAATCTACTTTCTAAACTCAGAAAGATGTTTGTGATAATCACTTAAGCATACCAAAAACAAACAAAAAAACAATTTAAAGTCAACTGTTATAAGTGATAAATTTCAAACAATTAGAGAATGAAAGTTTTTCAAACCCGAAAACTAGATGAGGATCTCACAAGTTACAGATTCCTACATCAACCCAAATCCACCCATGGAAATAGAGCATTCAGCTTTTCACAAGGACTTGTCGGCCACACCAAGCCAATTTTTTTTAACACCTATTACATTTCTTAAGAGTAAAATATAACCGCCCAATAAACACTGTTAGATCACTTCTTTAAGTTCCAACCAAAAGAATTTTTTTTAATGTTTTATTATTTAATGTTTTATTCTTGAGAGAGAGCACAAGCAAGAGCAGGGGAGGGATAGAGAGAGAGGGGAACAGAAGAATCGAAGCAGGCTCTGCACTGACAGCAGCCAGCCCGATGTGGGGCTCAAACCCAAGTCGAGGTCAGACACTCAACAAACTAAGCCATGCAGGCACCCCTCAAAATTACTCTTCAATCATCCTAAGTAACTCAAATATAGTATTCCCTATTAGTGTATGACCTTCAATTTCAAAGGTGTAGAAATCTATCTGGGCTATTCTATGGCATCAAAGAAAACTTAAGAAAACAATTGTTATGCTAAGTCTGTTCACTCAAACTGAAAGACAAATGAAAATAAAATGTTAATTACAAACCTGCTAGTTTAAAAAGTCTAACTTTCCTAGATCATTCATCAGAGTAACTGGCTGTCACGCCTAGATAAATTTATAAACTAAAAAATCACATACTTACAGTTTGCCTAGCCTGGATACTAGCTGTTCCATCACAAATTATTTTCTTTAGGATTGGTCCAAGAGTTTTCAAAACTTCTTCACTTTCGATCCCAGGGCCCAACTGAATACACAGAACAGATGCTAGTGCTGCAGCCGCACGCTGCTCATCACTCTTACCTACAGAAAAAACAACGGTGCAACCGTGAAAAAAATTACTTTGAGAAGACTAACTTATTAAGATAGCCATTTCCCAAATCTGTACAATTCCAAAATATCATCTACCATTTACAAAACCCATAGTACGTTCCAAGTTTTGACCTGAGCAGCACCCTAGTGAGCTCAAACTCTGGAACAGACCTCACTCAAATCCTAGATCCACCACTTACTAGCCAAATGACTTATTCTCAAAACATACTTCGTCAGCAGTAAAATGGAGATCAATACCTATCTTAAGCAAGTACTATAACAAAACATGTTCTGTTTTACAAAATAACGTGTTTCAGCTGATTTGACCTTCCAAACCTTTCATGTACTCACAGAACTGTGCTCAGGTAGCCTCTGCATTAATCTCTGAAGCATTTCAGATGTACACAGCCCGTGAGAAAGCCTTAACCTTCAGGGTCCCCCCCGCCCCATCCCAATTTTTTGAAAATAAACAAGGGATTAAAACCATACAAAAACTACAGACACCAAAGGGTTTGGGCAGATTTTACATGCAAATTACTACCTGACAAACAAAAAAATTATAAAATAAGCAGACTGGAATGGAATTTTTAGAAGTCATCTAATCCAACTATCATTATAAGAAAACAGTTTCAATGTAAACACTTCTATAAAAGCCTTTGTAACATCTCAGAAAAGTGGGCTCTGCTATCAACTATACCACTAAGAAGTTATATAACCTTAGACCAATCTCCCATTTCCTAGGCCTTTTATTCTGTACAATGAGAGAGATGGAATGGATGAAAGGTTTCCAAATACCCATTCATTGACAAAGCTTTCACGTAAGGTAAAATGAGAAAAACAAAGACATAAAGCTAATAAAGCTCACTCAATTTAAAAGAGCATGTGGGCTTCCCACATTCTGGTGCTAAAAATATTTTGTTAACAAAGAGATAATGATGGAGAGTCATTATCCTCACAATGTCCTCACTTGGCAAAATAATTAAGCTGGCAGCCCCAAGTCTTTTTAATTTTGGTGGTTCCTAAAGCTGAAGTCTGGTGATACTAGATTTAATCTTTAATGTCTTTCTTCATTCTTAAAAGTTCTAGGATTACAACAATATGAATTCCAGAATCTCTACTACAAAGTTCTGGAATTCAAATATCCCAAGGAATATCCTGAAAATGATGTCATCTGCAGGTATGACTGATGTTTTAAGTGCATGCAAGGGAAAATGAGCTACGTGATTATAATACTTTTTTAATTTCAGAAAGATGAAGTGGGATGGTTTTTTTAATAATGGCTTTTGTTGACATCTGACACAAGCTTTCAAGGCTTTCTTCTTTGAGAATGGCAATCACTTCTTGCAATACAAAAAAAGGATGACAATCCACCACAATCCTACTGTTAAGCTGCCTATTACATAAATAAAAACAAAGTTTCTAACAAGTCTCATTTTGAATTTGAATAAGCATAGTGTGTATTCCTTGACACCTAAAGTTAAAAGAGTGAGCCAGTTTTCTATTTCCATTAACGAAGGTTACTGCCAAGAGGTGGCAAATTCCTTTTTAGTTCTGTGACTCTGACTCAAAAATAAGGACAGTACCTTTTTTCAGGCAGCGTTCAATGCTGTCAGTCAAAGTCATTCTTCTTTCCAGAATAAATTCATAAAGCATTTTGGAAGCCAGTGCATTTTTAATACCTTCAAGAGCTGCCTGCCTGGTCTTCGCACTATTTAAAACAAAATCAAAGATCCAGCTGGAGTGTACCATAGGTCAATGACTTACAAAAACTCCACTAGTCCCCTCTACATTTCTATTGACAGATTTGTAAATCATTTTCTTATGTAATTGTCATCAAGCTCTAACCATTTTTCAATAATTTAATTTTCATATACAATTCATCTTATTACACAAAGATTTTAAGCTGCTTTATATAACGTTTTTCTGCTTAGTCATCTAATAACCACAAGTTTAAATGACCATATAATATTTTATAGTTTCAATGTGCAAGACATGTTCTCTTGTAGTGCATATTTAAGTAAAGTCACACTTTTTTTTTCTTTTAACACTTTTATTACAAAAGTCTAGAGTTCATGTTTGCATCTCCAGGGCTTTTTAATTCTGTGTGTTGTAAGTCAGCTTTAGAACTACCATGAAATAAGAAAATTTAGCTTTGCTATTTTTCATATAGCAACAAAATTAGTGGACAAGAGGCTTAAAGCCGGGTTTAGCTGTTCTTTCAAGCTGAAAATTAACTGTTAATCCAATGAATCCATTTCAATTATAATCAAATACAGTTATGTGCTATTATGCTAGTATAATGACTAATCCGAGTCCATCTAAAGTCTACTGGTATGTTCCTATCCACATTAGAAGTCCAAAGGAACAAAAAACATTAAAACATCCAAAGTAAACAAATCAAGATCAGAGAAGTTCAGAGAAGTGCATACAATATACATGGTGGCTGGCCAGAATCCCTGACATAGAATGAACAGAGTTTCCAGTAGTTCCTACCTCTTATCCAGGGTCAGGTCAATGAATCCCTTCAATTTGTACTCTAAGTCTTCTTGAGTTCCTTCCTCATCAAGGACTTCTGGTCCTAAGAAATAATATAAACTAACCATTGTAATTTAAGTTTAAAAAAAAAAAAAAAAAAAAAAGCAGATGGGGAACAGTGATAGTATGCTTTAGCTATAAGAATTCTTCCACCTAAAACATCCTTTATCTAAAGTTTCAAATTTAAATTTAAAACTCATACCATCTTCAGCAAAGCTGGAAGGATCGCTGTAACCACTGCAATGGCTCATTGTTTCAATCGATGCATCCTCATCACTAAAAGGTTGAACATTTCGATGCTGGCCACCTATTAGGTAAGAGGGTCAAAGGAGATGATTGTGTTTGCCATATACACAAATATTTAAGTTGGGAATTTTAAAATTTACTTAGGAAAAATCCATTAATAAAAACCCAACCTTACTTAGGTGAAGAGATGATTATACTACAAAAAACATACTAAAATATTCCTAAAATAAGTCAATTCACCTGTTTTTCAGACCACCAACTGTTTACAATCTACATCAATTTCAGAAATGTCAAAAACTGGTATTATGGACGAAAAAACTATTTCCAAACATGACATTAAATCATGAAGACGATGAAAATAGATCCAGAAAGAGTATGAGATCATAGATCATAAGAATAAGAAAAGTGTATTTTTCAAGGAGAATGACTGAGCTTAGTGAACAAATATGACAGTAAACAAACAGGGTAAATGGATTAATTTTTAGGTTACCTGCCACATGAGGAAGAATTAAGACATTAAGGGATGGTAGTTTTAAAGAAAACGAGTTAAGAGGGGAAAACAGAAGTAAAATAGAAATTTTGATATTTAATATAAAAGCCTGTTATAATAGTTCACCTCTAAATAAAGGTTAACATATCCAACACTTTAAAAACATCAGGGCTGTTACTAGAAAAATCTTTTTTAAAACTAGGATCTCTCCTCAAATTAACTTAAAAAAAAATAAATCCATAGTTAAGTGGGTTTTTTTTTGGCAGGAATTTGATATTAATAAAAGTACTGCCCAATCATGAATTACACTGAGCAGTGAATCAAACTACATCCCAAATTCTGCCCCCAAAATGACTCTAAGTCACCTGATTTCTTTGAGCCCAAGTTCCTTTATCAGTAAAATCAAAGACTGCACCAAACATCACCAGGTGCGTATGTTCAAGAAATGTACCACCTTAAGAAAAGTTGTTGTTTAAATCCTCTCTGACTAAAACTGCTAACTAAATTTAGGGTTTTTTCTAGAGTTTTTTTTTTTTAACCAGAACAGAGATTTGCCTGATTTTTAAATCAATATAAGGTGGCAAACGGCCTTCAAATTTGCTTGCTATCCCAAAGAAATAAACTTTGCCAATCAAAGTAGGAAAGCATAAAGAATAAGCAGTGAAGCCAAGATACCACAACATATTAATCAGAGTCCTTACGGCAGGAATAAACAAACACATAAACAAGGATCTATGACATCATTCTCTATTTCTGGATCTATCTTCATTGTCTTCATGATGTGAAGTCATGGCTATGGTTGAGAGTCATCTGAATAATACTAACATTTATTCAACAATTCATATCTTTTTCCTTTTCATATTCAGTCTATTTCTAAACTGCCAAGAAACATATTCCTATACAACATTTACCCCACTTTCTCTAAGTTTCAATCAGTTTCCAAGACCTCAGGGAAAGAGAAGTTAAACAAAGAAAAACCAAGAAAAAGAACCGTGTATGAATGCCTGATATCTAGATCAAACTCACCCACCTTGTGTTCCCAAGTGATTTTAAGTAAGTAGCGCTCTAGACACATATAGTCCTTATTTCTTAGGGGGCTTACTTACAAGGTTTTGTTCTTTCACCAAAAAAAAATGCTCTCTTCAAATTAAGTGCTATAACAGGTATGCATACTTGTCAATTTTATCAGCTTCCTAGAACTTTGCATGAACTTAGAAAGAATTTAAATGGACAACCAATTAAAGTGATAGAAAAGTTATCTTTTAGTTGTACATGTTAAAATCTCATCTGAATCCCATCTCTTCTAGGTGTCATTTAAAAATACCAGTAAGTAAGTGGCTTATAAATTAGTACAAGTTTGCGACAACTTTCTATCTCTTCTATTCGATTATTATTTATTCACTTGAGTAATACATTCACATGGTATCAAATTAAGGTTTTAAAAAAGTAAATCCCACCTGCATACTCCATTTATCAGAGGTGAGCACAGTTAACAAGTTCTAGAGTAAATTTCCAAAGACACTCAAAGCCTGTACAGTTTTATAAACTAATCAAAGAATTCTTTTCCACTTAAACATGCTAAAATTCAGTGTTTAAATATACTTTTTTTTTTTTTTTTTTTTTTTTTTTTTTTTTTTTTTTTTTTTTTTTTTTTTTTTACTGAAAATAATCAGGCTGATTAAAGATCAGGAAAGAGCCTAGAGGTAAAATTTGAAAGGCAATCCCCCACTGCCACTTGAGGTTATTCTGTTAGTACCAGGAAGAAAGGAAGCTTAGACAGGAAGTTTCACAGGGAATAAAAGGTTTGTTTACGATTCAAGGAAGCCATTAGTAACATCGTTACAAATTTTAAATGACTTTGGCTTGCAGCTCTGCACCATTTATTCCATCAACAAAAGGCAAGCTTAAAGGAGAATAAAATAAGGGCCTTCCAGACAGAATTCAGATTTACTTCAGAGGAGGAAAAGGTTAACAGAAGAGTACAGAGGTATCCTCAACTGACACAGAGCAATCATATGCCACACCAAACTAATTTTGTACTTTACATCTTGATCAAAAATGAATTTCACGAATATCGAAGGGATACAATCAAAATAAAGAGCGATATCAAGAAAAAAATTGCACTTATAACAATCCATTCCTATTGTCAATTATTAAATGTTTAATACACGAACACGAGTTTTCGTGCTGCTATAAATCCTATATGAAAGCGCTTTAAATGCTAGTTTCCAATCATCCTTCTTGTTAACAAGAAAATTGGGCTAGTCACTAATGAACAAAGGCAGATCATTCTGTGGGTCGGATTTGCAACTCTGTTGACAAATACATAACGGCTGGTAGTTCCGATGGGATAATGTCTGAGAATATTCCAGTATTTAACTTCAAAATCTCCATCAAAAAATTGACTTCACCTAGTTTAACTTAATACTCGACTTGAGTTCAGTGGTGTCTCGTAGGACTTTCCGCTTTGAAGTCCTTTATTCTTACCCCTATAGTTAGTAGCACAGAATCATTAATTCATTGAAGCATCTACCCATTCAGGAAAAGCTTCAACTTTGCTGTGAGAACACAAAAACCTAAACTTTTGGCCAACTGCAATCAGAGCTCCTCGCCACCCCGCCTATTCCGGCCTCAGAGCACAGAACCTATAGAACGCAGCACAAAGGAGAACGCGACTTCTGCCCCGGGGAGGAGGTCGCCTGGACCCTCTGGCCACAAGAGGAGGAGGGGGCTCGGGATTTCTGCAGGTGCCAGTCAGGGGTAAGAATAGAGCCTAGGCTGGGACAGTGGCCCCAAGCCTCCTACGCCTGCGCCCAGCCAGATGGGACACGCGGGATGCCCAGGAAGGCAGCGGAACGGGATGCCACACGTGCGCCTCTGCGTCACGTCGGCCCCACAGCTCAGGGTCCAGGCCTCGTGACGCAAGAACCCGGCCAAACCCGCCGGACTTTTAGCATTCCCGAGAACTCCATGTTGGAGTCGGGGGGTCAAAGACGACCACAGACAGCCCAGACGCAAATCCTAACTCGGCCCCACCCTCCGTCAGGGCGAGCTCTGAAGAGCAAGCACCAGCTTCTGAAAACAGTGCCTCTCCCGCCCAGCAACCCTTCACCCCGGACTCCGACCCACTCTCAGACCCTAGGACCTATTCGCCCCCTCCCCGCCCCCACGGCCGGTGCCTGAGTTCGGCTCGAAAGCCAGATCCAAATCGCGCGAGGTACTGTCGCCAGGGCACGGTGGGAATTGTAGTTCGCCAGCCAACTAAAGCGCCCAGCCAACACAAATGTCTAAAGGGAAGGAACTACAAATCCCAGGCTGCCCGAGGTTAAGAGACTCGCTAGTCCGGCCGGCAACTGGGATGCCGGCGACGGGGACACCCCCTTACCTGCTGTCGCCGCCGTCGCTGCAGCTGCCCCTGAGCCGCTGCCACCACTGCCACCGCGGTGGGGAGTATTCCGCTTCTTATTCTTCGGCATCGTGGGACGCCCGGTGCCGCCTAAACTCAGGGCTTAGCAAAGATCAGCCGATGGAGCTGCACTTTTTACTCGTGCGTCTGTGCGGAGGGCGGCTAAGAGGCGAGTCTTCAGCTAACAACAGAGGCGAGAAGCGGCGGGGGTAAGAGTGGGCGGTGGCAGCAGCAGAAATCCCGGTGAAGAGCTGTGATCGGAAACGATACATGTTTCTCTCTAGCGCGGGAGCTAAGGCGGGGCGGGCTGGGCCACGACGCCTTAAGTAGCAAGACCGCCGCCTGTCGTCACTATATGTGGGCAGGACTCGAACACCCAGTAACCAATCCGTATAGATCTCCCGACCAGAGTCCTACCTCCGGCGGCTGACGGATCCTGACTACCAATCCCATGTCGCAAGTCTTCCGGCAGCGCCCAGGGAGTGACTCTTAGCTACCGCATTTAATTCTGGGAAATGTAGTAGGCCTTTGGGGCCGGGAAGGGGTTCGCCTTCTGTCTCCTCCCAACGGGCTTGCCTCCCAACTCATGACCCCTCCCCTGCTTCCCAGCAGCCCCGCCTTGGAAGAGACTGAGTTGATCGTGGGTGATGAGCAATGCAGCGAGTATGCATGATGACGACGGCCAGCTTCCAACTGGGAGCTACGCAATCAGCTTAGCTCATCTTTCTCCAGAGGCTGGAGTTCTTCTGTTTAACCTTTACCCTGCTTCTCTGCAGTCTCGCTCGGGCACAGCCATACCCCTGCTCGAGAACACCCCCAAGGTTTTAGTTGTTGGATTCGTTTAGCGATCACCAATATTTATCATTGAGCTGTGGTTCAGGGCTGTGTGCACCTCCAAAAAAGGTGTGCTTTAATTTACTTAGTCGTGTAGTTTGTGTATTTCTCCTATTACAGACTAGAAAGATCTGGCGATTCAGTGTCGCAGGAGTCGTATTTCTACACAAGAATGTGTCGTTTAACAATTCTACCTGCCAGGTCAGTCTGGTTTCTGAGACTGTAACAGCTGGTAAAACAAACATAAACTATAAATACCAATATTGCAGTGTTTTTTATTTTCCAAGGTGCTCCTAGATATGTCTTCCTTGTTACATTTGTTATTTATTTAGGACCTGTTATTGTCATGCTTATGACAGACCGAACTCACTGACTCACCTCAATATAGGTGACTCATCCCCCACTGCACCTCTCCTGAGCTCCTCTTATTTTCAACTGCCTGTAGCACATTTCCACCAGAATGTTCCACCTGCACCTCAATCCAGTATCACTAAAACAAGAACTGTTTCCCTCTTCCTGTCTGCCCTTTGTGTGTTCACAGTACTACTATCCTCCCATATGTCCAAATTAAAAAACTCAACTTCATACATGGTTCCCCTCTCTCATTTAATGCCCTCCCAAAACAATGGGCTTTACAATAAAACTCAAATTCATGACCCATTCTCCAGTCACACGTGGCCTCAGTTCATACCTGGACACTTAAGGATCTTCCAGTTGTTTCACCAAGGTTTCGTGCATGATGCTGCTGCCAGATTTATTTATGTATCCCTGTCTTACTAATTCACTAATTTAACAATTGTGCAAAAACATTCCTTGGTTCCATTACTAATATGTTAAATGCCAACCCTCTTAGCCTGGCCTGGACTCCCTTTCCAGCTCCATCTCTCACTGCTGCCCCATACACATCCTGTTCTTCAGCCACACTGCTCTTGCTGGTCATTTCCAGGACACAACTCTGCTCTCCTATCTCCATTTTCTCTTTCACATTGTTCCATGTTCTTGTAACGTCCTTCCTCCCACCTTCACCTTACAAAATTTTAGCCATCTTTCAAGGTGTAGCTCAAATCCCCCACCTCCTTCACGAAGCTTCTAACCAGAATTGTTTCTTCCTCCTCACAACTCTCAGCGCTCTTTGTAATGCTCTGTTGCCACTAATTATATCACCACAGGCCCACACAGCTTTTTCTAAGATGCTCTTCAAGGGGCAAGAATTCAAGGTAGCTTTCATTTTGCTTAACCCTGAAGCAGCAAGTAAACTACACAGACCTTGTAAACCAGATAAGGACACAGGTTGGTGGACATAGCTCACACTAATTTCCCTTCCGATGACTACACATCTGAAGTCTGGTGGCCTGGGTGCACATTGAGTGAGATGACCCTAGGTTGGAGAAGCACAGAACTCCATAACTTTTATAAACCCAGACTCTCCATCATCTGGAAACAACTAATACTACACATAAGGCAATAATCTTGCTACAGTGTGAGCCCATTACCCAGGCTTGATGTCCAGGTTCCAGACCTTGAACTTGTACTTTGCCTGCATGTGAGGCATCTTCCTTTTATCTGCATCCATATTCGTATCCACTTACAGGCTTTTCTTGGGCAGGCCCAGCCACATCATACACACACTTGATTTACGTTTAGTGGTGAACACATCTGTCATCTAATAAAATTGCCAGGTCTCCAAGAACAAGAACCTTGTTTTCATTATTCCTACTCCTCATGGCATATAAAGAAGTGCTATCTTTGTAATTATAGTCAGTGTCTGTTAAATGAATGGTTAAGAAATACTCATTGACTAGATTTCTCTAGTTCAAGAAAAGGGAGATATATTACATGCATGGAAGATAACTTTCAAATTACGAACTCCAAGAAGAACTTTTGATAAAATCATCTAAATGTATTTTTATATCTGTAGTTACCTCAGATATGTACAAATACCAAGAAGATTTAGTCACTGTCCTCATTACACAGTGGTCCTTAACATATTGGTTTTACAACATATTTAAAGAAATTATGAGACTCCATACAACATTAAGTGAGTCACCAAATGACTACAAATAGCAGGAAGAAAGGGGAACCCAGGACACAAGGGCTTTTTCCTAGCCAGGCTTTGCCTGTTTATTCAGGAAAGAACACCTTCCCTGGGGATTTCTACCTAGGTCTCACTGGCCAGACTTTTGTCACCTGACAGTCCCTGACCTAAAGGGAGTCTAGAAGACAAGGTTTTTTAGTTGGAGTTATTGACAATCAAAACTGCAGTTCTGTCGATAAGAACGAAGGGGAGATCCTGGATGTAGAGTAGGCATCTAGCAGTGTGTTCTTCATGTACTATGAGACAAAGTCTTCCCATGTTCTAACAAGTATCACATATTTGTTACCAACTTGACATTATGTGCTGTCTCTCACCTCTTACCAGTAGTAAGATGTATCCTCCTCCTAAAAAAACACAACCTACTACTCAGTTTAACATTCTGTCTAACAGATATCACTATCATGGTAAGCATACTCATTGTTGTAAAAATAGATTTTAAATTAATCTGAATTTGTCGGCACACCTGAGAAGAGTTCTAAGCTCTCATGGGGTCTATATCCTGAGAAATATGGTTCAAGAACAATTAACACAAATAAGACTTGGGTATTCAAACCTCCCTTGAAGGCATAAACATAAAAGGTTTTCTTTGAATGTCTTTAGTCATGGCTTCCTTGGGATTCTTTGCATGGCATTAAGCAGAATTAAATGTCTCCCAGATCCAGCTAAGACTTGTCATAACCTAGATCCTACCTATCTCTCCCAACTCACCTCTCAACACCTAACAACACAGTCCCTTCCCTTCTGCCACATGGAACCCCTGGCAGGTCTCAGAGCTCATCATGCTCAAGCTTCCAGGCCTCTCCCACTCCTTGCCCACTATGGCACATTGCCTAAAGTGTCTTCTTTACCACCTCAGACTACAAAGTTTATCCCCCCCTTAAGACTGACAGCCCTCCCTCACCCCTGAGCTTCCATGATTGCCATTCAGATCTCAGCTTAAGTGACACATCCCTGAAGAGGCCTCCCCTACTCTCTGTTCTAAGGTAGCCCCCTTATCCCACCTACCACCACCCCACCTATGTTATTCTCCTAAAGCACATCTCACCACCTAAGGTTTCTCAAGTTCAGTTATTGTTTTCTCTTGTAGAGTGTTTTCTCTAGTACAATGTTAGAATTATAAGAAAAGAGATTTTGTTTTACTCACTGCTGTATCTTCAGTACTGGTACTTAGTAGATGTTCAATTAACGTTTACTGAACAAATAAATGGATAAATAACTGAATGTCACTCCCCTGCCTGAAACATCTTTCTCCACAATCTCCCTTCATCCTTTAAGTCACAGATCCTGGACCTCCCTCCCCTCCCCTGTCAGATTTAAATGTCTCTCTTCTATGTTCCTATAGTGCTGTTCCCTAGAACAGCAGTAATTATATGTATTATAATTCTTGATTACTTGTCTGTTTCCCCATCAGACACAAAATGGGCAAAGTCCAAGATCATCATTACTGAATCAGACACCAGAGCTTTACAAGCACGTGCAGCACCTTTGTGCAAATTAGAGGCCAGGGCACCCAGCTTGATGAGTAATAATGAGCTGGAATTTAACCCCCTCTTTCCCTTCATCAGGGAACAACCTATCCATCTGTACACAGGGGCCCTGGTAGACAGTAGTTGTTTAATTCGGTGAGGGAGTGAATTTCCTCTGTATCTGGGCAATTTTCTTAAAGACAAAGAAACTAAAGTTGGGAAAAGGATGACACTAACAATTATCAGAAGTCCACTCTGCTGCTGGTGCTTTTCTGGTTTTTTCCTTTTTTTTTTTTTTTTTACCACTTTATTGAGGTATGATTGACATACAAAAAGCTGTGCTTGTTTGATGGATACAACCTGACGAGTTTGGAAGTATGTATATGCTAGTGAAACCATCACCACAATCAATGCCATAAACATATCCATCACCTCCAAAAGTTTCCTCCTACCTTCTGTGTGTGTGTGTGTGTGTGTGTGTGTGTGTGTGTATGTGTGTAATAAGAACACTTAATTCTAGGTTCATTTCACATCTTATATACTTCTTACACTGTATGCATGACAGATCAGTTTTAACATTTTGTGGATAAAAAACTGGGCTCAGAGAGCTTTTGTCAGTTCCCCAACGTTGTACCATTATCAAATAGTTTGTGATTGAAACCCGGGCCCATCTGATTCCAAGGTTGTCCTTGGCTGACCTGGGCCACATGGGGCCCTGACTGCTTCTTCCCAGGAGCCACAGGTTATGTATGTTGTTCCACTAGGACGGGCCCATGTGGGCACAATCTTGCCTTGTTCAGCCTTTTTTTGGTGTCCTTTGACCCCTACTATTTCTGACTGCCTGTTTGTTTGGCAGATTTAGAATTTTCTGATATTTCTAGGCAATAGCAGAATTGTA